ACAAATCACAAATAATGCCCCCCTAATAAATCTGAATAATGTAAAAGAGTGGAAAAATGAGCAAGTCTGTCGACGGTGTCGAGTCAAACGTATCTAATTAAAGCTTATAAGTTGCCCCCAAAAAATATACATATGAAGACAAGGTGCACCACAAATTTTAGTTAGTGGGGAATATTCATCAAGCGTCACTGCTCATGTAACAAAACACAGTTTGTTTCTGTGGGGGGGGGGGGCAGAGAGGGAGAGAGACCCTTCGCCGGTGCTTGTTGCCATGGTCAGTCGCATTCGTGCCTCGTGGAACGCCCGTCCGGTCGGTAATGTTTTCGGGGTGCGTGTGGCATGTGGGTGCCGAAGTGCAGGCTGCAGGGAAGCCGCGGCAATTTTTTGGCACGTTTTTAACGGCGGTACGTGGCAGCGGGCGACGCAGGGCGGGGCGGCGCGGCGGCGGGTGGGGTAGTTACTGAACTGTTATTTAATTATTAATTAATAATCATCGGGCGGCGGCGCTGCGCGGCGGCGGGCGACGCGGAGCAGGGCGGCGCGACCATCTGTACTGAACGGGCCAGCTCTGGTCTTTGAGTCAGGGCAATTTGGTCGCGCCGCCCTCGACTCAAGTCTAGGGTACGATACTTCCGGGCCGGTGTGCGGGGAGCGAACCTTAACGGCCGCCCAGAAGCTTTCTGAGCGAACCAATCGGGCCAGGATCGTCAGCATATGTCCCCTTCACAACATCGTGGGCGTTTGAGCGGTATTTGAGGAGCACCGCGACTCTGAAGTTCCGCCGGGTGGTCTGCAGACCCCCCCCCCCCCCGGAGCAGCAGAGGCTCCGTGGGGTCGAAAAGTCGACGCTGGGAGTCGCACTCGTCAAACCATCGCAGCACCACGCGGTCCGCACGTACCGCCCACACCCCCTCCACCGCTGAGAAGGCGCAGATCGACCGCCGGGCCGCGTAATCGTCGTTAAGGAGCGGTTTTTGGAGCCGTACGAAGAGGTCCCAGACGGGCGAACATGCGGTTTTTACCACGAAAAGAAGAGCGCTGGTCACGCTGCGCGTCAAGGGCGCAGTCATGATCGCCATCCTCGCCTCCACCTTCCTCTGCTGGACACTCGAGGTGAGGCCTCGGGCACTCTCGGGCAATCTCGAGCAATCTCGGCAACCTCGGGCACTCTCGGGCACTCTCGAGCAATCTCGGGGTATCTCGGTCGAGCTCAACCTAGTCGCATGCATCGTGCGCAGCCCCCTAAGGTAGCCTTTGGGGCCCCGTCTCCTGTGCAAGACTCTCGCGAGCTCCGCCGCTGCCGCCCTCGGCCGCTACACCGCCACCGCTACCCCACGGGACCCGAACCCACCTACCCTACCCCCCACGGTACCCGAACCCACCGCTACCGCCCCCTCGGCCTCGTCTGCACCGCCGCTGCCGCCGCCCTCGAGCCGCGACCACCCCC